GGAAGGAAGAGGAAAAGAAAAGGAAAGAAAAGGAAAGAAAAGGAACGGAAGAAGGAAGAGGAAGAGGAAAGGAAAAGGGAAGGAAAAGGGAAGGAACGGAAGTGGAATATAAGAGGGAAGGAAGGAAAAGGAAAAGGGAAGGAAGAGGAAAGAAAGAGGAAAGGAAGGGTAAAGGAAGAGGAAAGGAAGAGGAAAGGAAAGGGAAGGAACGGAAGTGGAAAGGACAAGGGACGGAAGAGGAAAGGAAGAGGAAAGCACAGGAACTGAAGAGGAAAGGAAGAGGGAAGGAGAGGAAGAAAGAGGCAAGAACAAGTAGAACAAGTAAACAATTACTTTACTTCGTGTGATCCCCACCATGACATTTATATGTTTTGTTACTGGCAAATCTTCTGCCATTCTATCTGGCATATCTTCTGGCATTCTATCTGACATATCTTCTGGCATTCTATCTGGCATATCTTCTGGCATTCTATTTGGCATTCTATCTGGCATATCTTCTGGCATATCTTCTGACATCCTATCTGGCATTCTATCTGGCAAATCTTCTGGCATTCTATCTGGCAAACATTCTGGCACTTTATCTGGCATACCTTCTGGCACTTTATCTGGCATTCTATCTGGCATATCTTCTGGCATTCTATCTGGCATGTCTTTTGGCATTCTATCTGGCATATCCTCTGGCATTTTATCTGGCATATCTTCTGGCATTCTATCTGACATCCCATCTGGCATTCTATCTGGCATATCTTCTGGCATTCTATCTGGCAAATCTTCTGGCATTCTATCTGGCAAACATTCTGGCATTTTATCTGGCATACCTTCTGGCACTTTATCTGGCATTCTATCTGGCATATCTTCTGGCATTCTATTTGGCATTCTATCTGGCAAATCTTCTGGCATATCTTCTGACATCCTATCTGGCATTCTATCTGGCAAATCTTCTGGCATTCTATCTGGCAAACATTCTGGCACTTTATCTGGCATACCTTCTGGCACTTTATCTGGCATTCTATCTGGCATATCTTCTGGCATTCTATCTGGCATATCTTCTGGCATTCGATTGGCATTCTCTCTGGCATTCTATCTGGCATATGGCACTTTGCATTCTATCTGGCATATCTTCTGGCATATCTTCTGACATTCTATCTGGCATCTATGGCAAATCTTCTGGCGTTCTATCTGGCAAACATTCTGGCCCTTTATCTGGCATACCTTCTGGCACTTTATTGGCATTCTATCTGGCATATCTTCTGGCATTTTATCTGGCATATCTTCTGGCATTCTATCTGACATTCTATCTGGCATTCCATCTGGCAAATCTTCTGGCGTTCTTTCCCAGGTTGAGGTCCAGCGGTGCCCACTGGACTCGGAAGCCGGCAGTTGAGGTCCAGCAGTGCCCACTGCGCTAAGAACCTGGCGGTTGAGGTCCAGCGGTGCCCACTGCGCTCAGAACCTGGCGGTCCAGCCATGCCCACTCAGATCGGAAGCCAGCAGTTGAGGTCCAGCAGTGCCCACTGCGCGCGGAAGTTGGCGAAGAGATTGGCGACGAGTTGGCAAGGCGGAAGTGGACGTGGAAGTTGATGCAGACATGGTCGAGGAGAAACTAAAGGAGGAGGAAGAGGAGGAGGCGGAGGAGGAGGATGAGGAGAACACCTCTGATAAAATCTAACAACCCTCACCTGGCAGGTGGGGAAAAAGGACTGAAATAGGCTTGAAAGAGGAACCATATCAAAGAGAAAGGAAAGGAAGAGGAACAGGAAACCGTGTATCGCCTCTCGTTGCAACGAGTCGTGACTTCCAGGCCATCAGTGTCACCTGACCGGCATGGATTCAATGGGAATTTCATGGGACTTAAGCATCAATTATAGAGGCTTGATCATCAAGAAATGATAATATAACTGATAAATGCTCCAAGTTATGATGCCCCAAAGTCTTTTCGAACTTGGTTTATAACTGGATTCACTATTGCGTTTATCTTATGGATATGTTGACGTAGATGAATGAACATGTTGTGCAGCAAACATAAAGCAACTGAGAGGCACCACTGATGGCTGGTTGAGCCCCCTATCTGAAAAATGTCCTTGAAGATCATCATCCGCACCATACGGTTGAATATAAAAACCATGTTTGACACCACCAAGTAAAAGAGCTGTAAAAAAAGACCCATGGCCATTGCCTAAGTCGTTGCTTGAAAACTGGCCAACAAAACGGTGGTCTTGTCACGATTGATGGAACATGATGGTACCCTCTGGTAATGACTAACAGTTCGCGACATTGAAGCCATGGCCCAGTCAAAATAGTTGATTTTTACCTCTTAAAAAAATGTTGATTTTCCACTATAAATGGTGATTTTCCAGTATAAATGGTGATTTACCTATTAATAGCATGGTGGATCTTTCCAGTTCGTTATGTAAACGCCTGTTTACCAGGCCGGGTTTATCATGGTGCCCGAAAATCCAGTGTCACTTTCAGCCTTTGCTCGTCGAGAAAGAATCTGATATTTTTAGTGGCTTTCAGTGCAGTATAGCCATTCAAAATTGCATTTTCTGGCAGTGGCATATAGGCATATAGGTTTCATCTCTTCCGATATCATGATATCCAGGCATTGCACATCTGCAGAGCTGCTGCTACGTCGATCAAGGTGTTTCTTGGGAAGCTATGACACAGGTTTGCGCTGGATTTAAAGAATCGACTTGTTGCATTTGCTTCACTGGGCTGGTTGGAAAGAAATTGATTTGTTGGATTCTTAAACGTTACCATCCAGCAATCAAACGTGGCTTGCTCGAAAATTCCCACATTTACAGGTGATTGGCCCATATTTGTTCAAATTACCTGCATGTTTCGTAGATTTCCTAGGCAGCCATTTTTGATTGCCAGAGGGTAGCCCAATGGAACTGGCCCCGAGGCACCTGCAGCCGCAGGAGGCACAGACTTCCGCGTGTCTTTCAACCTGGAAGTGGGGCGGGCTACCAGTAAAAAACGTAACATGACAAATAGTGCTGGAAATCAGAAAATATCATTGTGGATTCTCCAGTGCCATGTGTGTATTTTCTGGAGGGTAAGTGGTCATTTCCAGTTTTCGACCAGGTGACAACTGATTGGTGGTCCGAACAACCCACAGAATCTCCCACGTCCAGATTGGTTGATGAAGCAGTGCAACCATCTCATGTTTTCCATCGCCACGCATCCATATTGAATACCCCAAAATGGAATGGTGTCCTGGGAAAAAAAAAAAAAAACACACATGTTGACCCGTACCCTTTGGCTAGAGAGGAGGGTGTTTCCGCACGGACATCCACGGCATTGAAAGTGACTGTAATGTAATGGTTGAGCCATCACAACAATCGTCCATTGGTGTTCCAATCATCGCAAAAAAGCAGTCAGAAAGCTGGTTCCCCATACCCATAGGATCCATGGTGCTGCTATATATGGTAACATGAATACCATCAATATACCCCAGTTATGTTAGCATATACACCAGCACCATGGATCCTATGGGATATAGATTGGTGATATCTTCCGCGTTTCCATGAAATTTACATCGCACATCCGTTGAGTCCCAGTGCTGGTTTGCTGAACAAGCAGTCCATGGCTAGATGGAACAATGGCAAAAACACTGTGCAAGGCCCAGGGCCCAAAATCAGAAGTTACTAAGTATATATGATTTTTTCAGGAAAACAATACATTAATAGATATGGTGAAGAAAGCGACTATAGTATTTAAAGTTGAATCAACTGGTGTAAGCTTTGTGAAGTCAATCATAAACTGGTTGTTTCTCTTCATGTATAATATAGTTGTGTATGTATATAAATGTACAACACATTTGTTCAACACATGTATATGACAAATGTGTGTGTGTTCGATTGTGTATAACACAACATGTATATAGCAAATGTGTATAACATATGTAGATATATTTAGATACATAAGACATGTGTATGTATGTTTATGTGTATATATATATACTAAGATTAACATGTAACATTTACATAACATGTTTGCAATACTATATGTAACAACAGATAATTACGTTTAAATAAAACCAGCTTTACCCTAAAAGCAGCCACAAAAAGAAGCCACTTATACTCATTTTTTCTCAACATAATCAAATTGTCAGGAAAACAACAAAAAACATAGAAAACCAATATCATATCATATATATATATATATTGTGAAAGTGGGTGATTCATACATGTCTCACATGTCTTACCTGCCAGGTCCATAACCACCACTTGTGGATGTGTATCCGCGATCCTTTGCCCAAGGGCCCTTGACGCCAATTCGAGGCGTGTCGGATGGAAAAAGCAATGGATGCGTGAGCCTTGCGGCTAACCGGATTTGTGCTGTGCTGTTGATCCCATTGGATAGATCCCTTGTGCTACCAGCTTCGCATGGTAGCGGAGCTACCTCAGGTAGCTTCTGCGCACCTCGAGTGATCCAGGTGGTTGGGGTCATCTGACCCGTGTGACTGCACTTTGCAGTAAGCTGAGCATTTGCTTAGAGGTCTATCCTGACCGCAAGTTCCACACACAACTGCGTTAGCTACACTTGCAACCTACAAATACAACAGTGCAATACAACAGTTTTCCACAGTGTGATTTGAGATGGAATCCAAAGATACCTTCAGAGATTTGCAATTCGATGGTAAGCCTTCTGGATACAGAGATTTTCGCCGCAAAACCATTCTTGCAGTTGCTGGACTGGAAAATCGCCATGCACACCTAGCTGGGCCTCGCCTTTTGCAACGTTTGCAAGGCGAAGCATGGAGAGCGACGGAACATCTGAAGATTGCTGATTTGCGAAAACAGAATGGATGGTTAGAAGTGATTCATGCCCTTGACCTCCACTACCGTTTTCTGCCTGAAACAGAGCTCCATGAAGCAGTGGAGGAGTTCTTGTTTTCTATGAAACGTAGGCCTGGAGAAGGAGCAACTTCTTTCAGTTCAAGATTTCGCACTCAGTTAGATCGTGTCCAAACACTGATAGCTCAAGAGCGTGAGATGCATCGCACCCGCAAAAAGCCCAAGCGTGGTCGCAAAAAGCGAGATGCCACAGATGTTGACATGCCTGAGCCACCATCGAGCAGTCTGGAAGAATCAGATAAATCTGAGGATCCCAAAGATCCTGAACAAGCTGAGCCTGCTACTGAGGAAGAAGCAGCCCCTGCTGGCGCCACAGCATCGGCTGCAGCTGCTGGTCATTCGACCGACGAAGCTGAGCATAGTGCTCAAACTGGGCGTTCAAAGCCTCCTTCTTCTGCTGGTTCCAAGCGTGAGAGAGCTTCACATGCGTCAAAGGGTTCACGAGCTTCCCAATTGTCTCGTGGAACTCACAAGTCTGACCAAGAGCGTGACAATCGTCGCATGATGGAGATGCTTGGATCCCTGGAACATGGACATTTGAAGCCGAAGCCTATTTTTCCTCAAGCAATTCTGGGTCATTTATTCATGCGTAAGTTTGGGTTGAACCGTGAGCAACGAGCTCACATCATTCGTTCTACAAATGGATCATCAAGACTGGAAGATGTCGAACGTATTGTTCGAGCCTCTGACTTAGAAGAATTCCGTTCTGACGATCGCAGACGAGAGGAACGAAAGCCCATCAAGCATGCCAGAAAAGATGCCTATGCTGTTCAGGCTGAACAACAAGTTTTGGTTGCAGATGATCATGACTCCTCTTCAGACATCATGAATCCTGAAGATGACTTGGAGTCCGAATCTGATGATGCCTTAGCTGTTGAGCAAGACGCTGGTGATAGCACAAATGAAGAGTTACAAGAGATCTATGAAGTTCAGAAAAAGGCCAAGAGAGAGTTCCGAAAGAATTTCAAGACCTACAAAGAAAGTCGTAAGAAGGTTCGGGAGATCAAGAAGAGCCGAACACCATACCTGCCTGTGGTAGCCTTGAATCAGTCTGGAGAAAATGCCTCCTCCAGCCAAGCTCCTGTAGTCAAGCAAAACTTTGGGTATGACCGTAAACCTTCTGGGAAATCTGCCCCCAAGAAGAAGCCTGATTCACGATTCTCTGGAAAGCGTGAGGAAGCCAATCTCACCACTTCTTCGGTGGTTGCTGAGCAGTTTTCCTACATGGTGTCTTCACGGAGTTTGACTGAAGAAATCTGGTTGACTTCTGTTCCTGATGGTTTTGCAATTATTGACACAGGCTGTACGACATCAATTGTTGGTTCTGAAACTGCTGAACGATATAGCCAATACATGCAGTCTCTACATTGGCCTGCCCCAATTTCCTGTCAGCTGCCGCCCGTGGAGTTGAAAGGCTTCAACGGGAACCGTGAGGTTTCCACTGATGGTTTGAAATGGACTGTAAAGCTGGGAAGTTTGTGGGGAACTATCACCACTTATGTCATTCCAGGTGCTGCACCTTTCCTTTTATCTCGCCGAGTTTTGGAGGGTATGCAAGCTAGATTAGACCTGGGAAAGCTCACCATCACTTCAGAAAAGCATGAACTGTTTGATGCACCCCTTCGACAAGCATCCAATGGTCATTTGCTCCTGCCGTTGATGGTTCAGCAGCCTGAGTTTGCAACCAATGAAGAGTGTGCCCATGCCGAGCACCTCGTAGAGACCAATGAGCCCAATACCAATCAGAGCCCTGAGCATTCGCATTGCCCTTCGCACTTCCAGGACCAGGGTTGTCAGAAGCCACCCAATAAAGGTCGGGTAACTGTGAGTGATAGGCGCAAAACCCTTCAACATGTTGTGAAGAATACTCGTAGGGGGATAGTTAATGTGGATAGATTCAAGTCGGAACTGGTGATGATTTTTGGTAAGAAAGCCCATGACATCAGCCATGCATTTGTTGCATACCGCCCCAGACTTGAACGTATGCCCACTGATGCGGATGTCATGTCATATGAAAGATCCGTAGCTTCCCTTACTGATGATGGGGTTTTTCATGTTGAACCATGGAGCACACGAAATGCAGGACCTGTCCGCCGTCCTGTCAGTCAAGTGAACGTAAGCCTGTTTGCCTACGTAGCCCTAGGTTCCACTGAGGATCATCAAAGCTCCTCAGGTGATGCGCACCATGATCACCACTGTTTCTGCTGCAGGGAGTGTGATTCAGAGGGCGAGGATTTGAACCTCCAAAATGATGATCAAGTAGGGGTCGATACCGAAGTACTTTATGGGGAAGATGTGGATTGGAGCAACCTGCCCAATAAGACCATAGACCCTGAAGATCTAGAAAAGTTGAAAAACAATATCCAAAAGCTTAGGTACACCTATGCACAGTTTCTCATGACACGTTTGTTAGGAGATCCCAAAGTCATCCTTGAAGAGTTAAGTGATTGGCTAGGTCCCCAAGCCCACAAACTGCATGAGACAGTGTCGCTGATCGAAGTGTTCACCGGCAAAGCACCACTGTCCGACCGGACTGAACACCAGTGCCAAACTTCGTGCATTCGTATCGGCCTCGACCATGGACAAGACCTGAACAAACATGATGATCGCAGAAAGCTTCTCCTTTTAATAGCATACTGCAAGCCTGCCGATGTTTGGATAAGTTTTCCTTGTGGTTGTTGGGGTCCATGGAGCCGCATGAACATGCACCGTAGTGCCGAGCTGTGCCAAGATGTTTTGGATGCAAGACGTCAAGCGCGACGCCACCTTTCTGTCGTGCCTGAAGTGTGGAATCTTCAGCAGTCCTTGGGTGGACATGTACATGTTGAGAACCCTCTCACATCCGATGCCTGGAAAGAACTTCGTTTGCCTCATGCCTATGTTGTTCGCATCGACCAGTGTAGTTTGGGTCTCCGATGTGTTCGCACCAATTTGCCTGTACTAAAGCCAACCAGAATTGTGACCTCTTGTCGAATGATGGCTGAACGTTTAGTCCAGTGTAGGTGTGACCATCGCCACCAGCATGCGCATTTGGAAGGTAGTTACAAAGGTAAGCCACTGACCTCCTATGCCGAAACATACCCAAGAAAGATGTGCCGAGTGATTGCTGAAGTCATCCACAGGCGTGTTCAGAGCCAAAAGCCTTCTCTGGACATTTTTGCCGAATTTGACGATGAATTGGAATCTGCTGATCCAGCAGAGCCTGCTGATGTTGTGAGGGCGGATGAAGAATCAACCGTTTCCAAACAGCGTATCCAAGCCATGATACGCAAACTCCATGTGAACACCGGGCATGCCTCCAATGAGCAACTTTTGAGGTTAGCAAATAGATGCCAAGTGTCCCAAGAAGTCAAACAGCAAATAAAGGAGTTTCGTTGTGCCATTTGTGATGAACACAAAGTGCCTGCCTCACGCCGTCAGTCAGCAATTCCACATGCCGAGCAACCCAACCAGATTGTCGGTGTCGACTTTGTCCAGGTTGAGCTGAAACATGTTGATAATAGTGGTAAGGTTGTTGAGCAAAAGTTTAATGTGTTAACTTGTGTTGACCTTGCAACCGACTTTGCCCAACAGGTGATTGTTGAAAAGGGTTCCCATCAAATGTCCAAGGCTTTTCATGAAGTATGGACGAGACCGTTTGGTGCCCCAAAAATCATATTCACCGATCCTGCATCGCCTACCACTTCAGCTGATTTCCAACATTACATGTTGATGCATGGCATCCAGCTCCTTCACTGTGGTACCGAAAGTCACTGGCAGTTGGGAAGGGTTGAAGTTGCAAACCGCGTCCTTCGCGGCATGGCCCAAAAGGTCTGGCAAGATACAGAAAGGCCTCCAGCTGAGGTCATAGAAACTTGTGCCAGCATAAGAAACCAGCACCTCCGTAAGCATGGATATAGCCCCAGCCAATGGTTTCTAGGTCAGGATCCCAAACATGCAGCCATGTTAGAAGATGTTGATGAGCAACGCAATTTTCCTGTCCAGTCACAAGTCCTTGCCGAACCTGAGTTTAAATCCAAAGTGCTCCTGAGAGAAGCCGCAGCAAAAGCTTTTCTTGAAGAACACTCCAAAGACACTTGGAGGAGAGCGCTTGCAGGACGAAACCGTCCAATCCGTGGGCCATACCAACAAGGGCAATTGGTTTACTTCTTTCGCAAGCGAGCCCGTGGTTTGCTATCGACTCGTCATGGGGTCTGGTACGGGCCAGGAAAAGTCATAGGCACCGAAAGCTCTTCCAATAATGGGGTAGTTCCAAGGGTAGTCTGGGTAGCCTTTAATGGGTTCATTTATAAATGTTCACCAGAAGGACTTAGACCCCTAACCGAAGATGAACACCAGTTCAGGGAACTTGCCAAGAGCCTAGCACAAGGTCGTCTTGACCCTGCCATCGAACATGCTGAGCAAAGCCTTTCAAGCCGATGTCCCCAATACCAAGACTTGACCAATGATATCCCTCTTGAAGATGATGAAGAATTGAGTCAAGATATGGAGGATGATCCAGATGATGGGGATAGTCCGGATGACAATGATGATGATGGTAATAGTGGTCCCCGTAAAAGACGTAATAGCTTGGATGATGATAGTGGTCCCCGTAGGGTAAGACTTCGTATCACCAGGTCATCCGACTATTGGCAAAAACGTGCTAGGGGCATGTCACCACTGGGTTCACTGCAAGAGGGTCCCATTCCTCATAGGGTTACTTTTGATGAAACAAATCCCGATGAACCCCCAAGTAAGCGTAGAGCAGTGTTGGAAGATATCCCTGAAGAAGAAATGGAAGAGGTTCCTGAGCCACAGGATGATGGGTATTCTCCTTCACTAGCGCCTGATGATGCAATGCCCGAAGCTCCCATGGAGCCAGACATGCCAGAGTTGCCACCTGCAGCCCCAGATGACGTGTCCAATTCACATGACGAAGTCATGGATGACCAGCCGCCAGAGCACTCAGTTTCCAGCGTGCCGGAACCTAGCACTAGTGTTGAGCAACAATTAGAAGAAGCCATTCATCAACCTGTCCCTGAAGATGATGAACTCATGGTTGATGTAGGGTCTGAAAAGTGCCGCCGTTCCGAAAGCGTGTTGGAAGTTTCGCTGAACGTATGTCGAGACGACATTTCCGGCGATCATTTGTGTCTGTGGCATGTGCTTGATGAGTGTCTCCAAGTTTCCACTCCAAAGGCCAAGCTCCGAAGGGTTGAAGTCAGCTACAGAAAGTTGTCACCTTCTGATAAGGAGTTGTTCAAAAAGGCAATGCAAAAAGAGTGGCAATCTTGGGTTGATAACAAAGTAACTTCTCTTTGCAAAAACCGGGGTATTTCACCAGAAAGGGTTATACGTGCAAGATGGGTACTCACATGGAAGAAAAGTTCCGACCCAGATGACAGGTCCAAAGTTCCAAAGGCACGATTAGTCCTAATCGGTTGGGAAGACCCTGAACTAGGTAAAATTGCCACTGATAGTCCAACACTTCGAAAAGAGAGCAAGCATTTAGTCCTTTCTATTTGTTCTGCCAAAAAGTGGAAGGTGTTTGGGGCTGATATCAAAACCGCATTTTTATCTGGGGATAACAGTGCAAGAGAAATATACTTCAAGCCACCACCTGAACTCAAAGAATGGTTGCAGCTGTCCCAGGATGATTTGTTTCGTCTTGAGAAAGCCGCTTACGGCTTGGCTGAAGCCCCAAGGGCATGGTTTTTGAGACTCTCCCGAGAGATGCGTGAGGCCGGACTGCAGCAGAGTCAAATAGATCCCTGTCTGTTTACTCTCCGTGTCAAAGGTCAATTGGTTGGAGTATGTGGTATACATGTTGATGACCTCCTGGGTGGAGGAACACCAGCCATGGAAGCAATCCTCACCAAACTCAGAGCCAAACTTCCTTTTGGGGATTACCGAACCTTTACCATTCGCTACACAGGCATAGAAATACGCCAATGTCCAAAAACCTATGAAATAGAGATAGGCCAAGAGACATACATCGATGCTTTGGAATGTGTGCAGACCAAGCCTCTAGGTGTCGCAAGCACGCCGCTTCCGGACAAATCCCTTTTGAGGACATGTGCTGGCCAACTTGCATGGGTCTCCAATGCAACGCGCCCAGATCAAGCCTTTTTATCTTCATACCTGCAGGGAGTTCAAGATAAGGGGTTAGTATCTCATGTAGCACTCTATAATAAGGGTATCCGTGAAATGAAAGAGAAAAAGGTGTGTCTTCGCTTCCCCAGCAGTGTTCCAATAGAGGATTGGAGACTGGTTTGCATAACCGATGCCGGATGGGCCACCCGAGACAATGGAGATAGCCAAGGAGGTTATCTACTTTTGATAGCTGAATCGAAGATGCTCAAACGTGAGCAGGCCAAATGCTGGCTCGTCGATTGGTCGTCCAAAAAGTTGAAGAGAGCTGTTCGCTCATCAGTTGCTGCAGAAACGTTATCTGGTCAGAATGGTTTGGATGCAGCTGAACTTTTCCAAGCACTCATGGAAGAAACACTGAGAAAAGTCACTCCCCGACAATTCCGTGAGATGACCCCCAAACATGAAACAGGTTTGGTGATAGATTCAAAAGGTTTTTATGATGCCATCACCAGAAGCTGTTGTTCACAGGCCGTTTCTGTAGAACGAAGGTTGCAGATAGACTATGCCATTGCAAAAGAAACCATGCAGAAACAAAACATCACCCCGTTCTGGGTAAACAACTTGCGTATGGCCGCTGATTGTTTGACAAAACTCAAAGGAGAAACCAAGCTTCTTTATGAGATTCTTGAGCGAGGGGTTTACCAAATAAAAGTATGTTCCGTTTCTGGTCGCCGAGAGAAAGCAGGCGAGGGTTCCTAAGTTTTCCACAATCCTTTTTGCCAGATCAGCCGCTCAGCCGAGCATGTGGGGTTTCAGGGAATCTGTGATTAACCACCACCAATAAGCCTGATGTGAAATAATGTATAGTGTATAGATAAGTTGGGGATAGTGGGGATAATTAAGCATAGCCAGCCAAAACTGCAAGCCGTTGTGAAGCATGATGCAAGTTGGAAAACCTGTTTGCGTCAGCCTTTTTGCCTTGTCAAGCAGTCTCAGTGACGTGACTCCCAATCCATAGGGTAGCAATATGGAGGCCACCAAGCACCAGCGTGTGACAGCAATGTCAGACTCAGTGCAAGGACCACTGAGTGAACCTGAGATGCATATGGCCGGTGGTTTGCTCGCCCGTGCCATTACCTACGGACAGTCTCAAAGGTTGTCCAAGGTGATTTTCAATTCGATTGGTGGGAAGCCGCTCGCAGTCAATGCCTATTACTTCCTGAAGCACACTGGAGAAGAGGTCGGCACCATGGCCGATAGTTCAAAGCGCCAGCGTGATTTCGATTTGGAAAGTCGGGATAATGTGACGGAGTCAGGTGTGAATTCCCCGGCTGCTTCGAGCCGTGCTGGATATCCTGATATCTCCTACCAAGGAATGATGCCACATGTTGAGCCGCCATTTCCAGGGTCTGGGAAAGGATTCACCAATGATGAAGATGTGACGATTCCCATGCCGAATGATGTGGCGAATGTGGATGAATGGTCGCAGACCGTGCTCAAGCTCCCCAAGGTCGCTGATCTCAAGATCACCTATGGCCAGTTTCTTGAGCGTGCAAAGAATGATCCTGATCTCTCCAAGTATACCAACTACATCATCGAGACGTTTGGCCCCCATGTGAAGAACAAAAAGACCACCAGCTACACCCAGGGTGTGGATTTTGCCCATTTCCTGTGCCGTGTCAAATATGTTCAGCAAAGCCATGGAGGTGGATTCAAGCGCGAATTGCGCAAGTGAGATCACAGAGATCTATGTGCATGGATTGGTCGCAGCTGCAATGAGCCTGCGCAGTACAATATGGAATAGATATTTTATCTCCTTGGGCATATCCTCTTGGATAGAGGGCGTGTGAAAGTGGGTGATTCATACATGTCTCACATGTCTTACCTGCCAGGTCCATAACCACCACTTGTGGATGTGTATCCGCGATCCTTTGCCCAAGGGCCCTTGACGCCAATTCGAGGCGTGTCGGATGGAAAAAGCAATGGATGCGTGAGCCTTGCGGCTAACCGGATTTGTGCTGTGCTGTTGATCCCATTGGATAGATCCCTTGTGCTACCAGCTTCGCATATATATACGTGTCTGGAAAACGGGTATAACATGGTATCACGGTATCACCATGTAAAAACCCAAGATCTTGTCGCCATTTTCACCCTTCGCACTGGCAACAAGCCTGCTCCCCGGAAAGGGCTCACTGGAGTAAGCATGCACCTGGGAGTAGAGTTTCTAAGTCCCAAAAAACCAGTGGAAATGGCTATTGAAAATGGCCCAGTCGAAATAGTGGATTTTCCCATGAAAAATGGTTGATCTTTCCATAGTTTTATGTAAACGTTTACCAGGCCGGGTATCTCCAAAATCCATTGGTTTTTGGATGAGTTTTCCGACATGACGATCCAGCCATCGGCCTGCGGAGAAGATCTTCAGTTCCCGAATAGAAAACTCATGTCTGAGCAGCATCTTCTGAATTGCACTACTCGCATCTTGTGGGGAAGAAGAAATAAAAGAACACATTCCACACCTTGTCAACGGCAACCGCCAATCTTCAAACAACCCTAATTATAGGTTCTATAGCTATATAACCTATAGATCCATCCGCCCAAACTGCACCAAGTTGCCCAACAAAGTGCCCCAACAACCAGGCCTCAAGTTCGAAGTCTTCCAATTTCTTCTCAATGGCCAATTGCTGCTGCTTCAACAAATCTGCGTGCAGAGACGGAACCAGCATCCCTTCGGGTTCCAACAGAAGTAGGTGTTGATCCCACTGGTATCCCGTAAATATAATGGCATTGACTGTATGATATATACAATATATATATCATTTATATATATACCTGATATATATATATATATATCATATATATATATATGTACATAATTATAGGTCTTGACCTCAATAGAATCCACATGAGTCAACCATAGCGTGGAAACGATCACACTTCAGCCTCGAAACACCCAACTATCTATTGGATGGACAGGGCTGATATACTGCTATCATACCTTTATCCGCGACAAAAAAATGTTCATGTGCAATGAGGACTCGCATATATGTGACATGTATGTTTAGAAACCACTTCAGCAAATAGCTCTTGATTCTCCATTTAATCTCTGTTCAATAAGAGTGGAGCAGAAGAACGCATGTCTATGGGGACAAGGGCAGTCTGAGCAGCAAAAACATCAGCTATACTTTGACCCTCTGCTCACGAGCATTGGTGACAGTACCAAAATCTTAGGTTAAAACATGTTAAACCTATATGGCTAAAATAAAATACATTATCTTTTGCGGGTTACTTGAGGGTTCAAGTATACCCTTCGGCAATCTAACCTGGCAATGGAAAATGTCTCATCAAGCAATTCTCTTAAACGGATTTACCACAGCAAAAAAGGGTGTTCATAAGGAAAAAACTGGGGGGAGGATGGGATCGGGTAAATATGGGTAGATGTCATATGACCAAACTGGTGTAAATACCTCCGATGATATAACAAAACTGGACATGTGAATTGTCTCTTGGACATGGCTACCCTTTTGTTTGCAACCACCATAAATCACAAACCAAAAATATGTGCATTTTCTTTGGGATACACCCTCGTCCTAAGCATCATACATAGTGCCCGCCAGTAACACCTCGCATATGCTTCAAATATTCAGGTGTTATGGCTTAAATCCAGCTTTTGGAGATGCTAAATCATTAATATACTCTATAGCTCAGCAGTCAAATCATGCAACCCAACTCACCTTTTTACTCCTGTTGGTCGACAAAAAGAATAATGAATCATATGTGCAACATGGAGTATCCCATTCCATTGACCATGATGTTTCTTGTGAACATTGCTATCAATCTGAAAGTCGCTAGAAGGTGGCGTAAGTAATCCCATCGAATCATCGAAGTAAACTTGTGAAAATCACCAAAATAACCCAAACTTTGTCTAGTTATAACTTGGTTTAATAAACCATAGTATATATATAATATCTATATGTATACATATATATGTATGTATATCATAAACCGTAAATTCGAGTGATGTTTCCATATGTTCCCCAACGGCGAATGAACAGGGGCACCCGGGCACCACCTTAGCCACAAAACAACTCGCCTGAAATGCGCAGAAAAAGACGTCCCTGCGACTCCTCCAGTGCTTCCTGCGTTGATGGATGGGAGGTTTCAGTGGATGACAAGAAGCGAACATCTGGATGGGGTATTCATGAAATAAGGTGATATTGATGGGATATGACTGTGATATGAATGGGATTTACACACCAACTTAATACGATATTTGATGATATTTGGGTCTGAGAATGGGCTTTCCCCCCAATTGTCGCCAGCTAAATGATGAAGCTCATGGTAAACCCTTGGATTTAGGGGCACTGGATGGATGAAAACTCCCCAGATGGCCTGCTATGGATTTGACATAGAATCTAAGCACCGAAAAACACCAAGTTTGTTTGGGGTAAATGTGGTAAATGTCCCGAATAATGATGCATAATGTCGCATAAGCGACCTCAAGCTTTCAAGTGCATGGATCGAAGGACATCTGTGAAATTCCAATGTAGCATAAATCAAGCATCCTGTCGTAATGTCAACGCTTGATTATGTTGATCATTGAGGGGCACCATTTCAGTAGCAAATCATCATAGACTATCACTAGTTGGGATCAACTCCCTAACTAATCATCAATGTGAATAATTAGAAGCTACAGTGTCAGTTTGAAACTAATCATCTTCCTAATTATATCATAGTTAACTAATCATCAACCAGGGTGAATAGAAATCTGGGTTTGCCATTGCAAGCGCGCCATCCACCTCGAGAAGCTCGCTCTGTCCTTGTTCAACAAGTTCCCTGAAGAACGCGCGGACATGGTCCAGCAAACAAAAAACTAGAGCAGCTGCCGTCCGAAAACGTGGCTATTCCAAGAGCGTTGAAGTCTGGCTGTGGGTTTCAACCCATCCCCAAAGAACGTGGTCATCAACTGAAATATACTGAAACGATCGTCTCTGGTTTGTGATGGCGAACAATAAAAAAAAAAACTTGTGCGCTTTTGCATCAAACAAAAAGTGTGGATGGCCCTTGGGTACCCCCAAAAGGCATCGTCTCTGAATTAACATCAAGACCTTGTATATATAGGATTGTTTTTAGGTGATGAAGGATGGCACATAGTTAAACTAAAACTATGTGCCAAAGCTTCATGCGCCGTGTGGCTTTCGGATGTTTCTTCCCTTGAGCCATGGATGGCAGCTGGTCGAAAACAACGCATTACAAGTCCAGTCCTATGTGTGTCGGGCAGCCAAAATGCGGATTATGTTTGATGGATTTAGCTCCCATCTACATGCAATGGGAATACAGAGTCAGAGTCGTCATTGCAGACTTCGGCCGAGCAATACCCAAGACCCGGCGTCATTCGCTCAACGCTGGATGAAAAAACATTCAACCGGTACCAGTTTCTATCACCCCAGAAAAACCACAAGACATTTTTTGGGGCACTTAAGGTACAGTACCGGTTTCGGGATTTATTTCACAACATCTTCGACCCTTCCCCTCAGTTGTTTTTCGTTGGTTGGCTTCATCCCCAGCGACTGAAGTTTCTTTTCCTCCTCACTTTGAGTGATGGCGACAATGATGCCTTTGGCATCGCGAAACCAGATGAGGGATGACACAATGGATTGTCGGATCCGCTGCGTTGCCCAGCGAACGACATCGAAACAAATCTCTCAAAAAAAACATCTTGAAACCAATTGGCTCAGCCATCCTTCAAAAAATTTCGCAGCAAAAAAACTGCCCAAAAAAATGGGACCCTCCCAATCTGCACATCGCACGGCTTTGCGTCATATTGTTGCTCAATACATGCAGCAATCATGCTGTATATACATGTTGATGTTTGATGGTTTCAACTCATCCACTTGAGATCAATGTCAATTGACATATTGCCCGCAGTTCCTATGACATATGGAATTTGCAAGAACACATGGTTGACTTCCCAGCGTAGAAATGCTTAGTTGTCCAAGAAATTATACTTCTTCATCAGTCAGATACATAATATATCATACATGATGGGTAAATAAAATAAATCATATATGATGATTTCCTAAAATGCAAAATAACCCCACATCATGAATTTTAATTAATAGGATTGTCCATTTTGAACCATCCAAGGGGGTACCTCCTTGACTATGGAAACCCATGGTCAGAATATCCAGAACGGGCACTCGTCGGACACCTTTAAAGGGATAATCACTTCAAGGGGAGAAATCGCTCCAACTCTTGGTTGGAGTTATCATGAGTTCAATTGAAACCATACAGATACTCTTCCGTATGAACTGATTTTTGCTTCAGAATCAGCACAATTCGGATGTTTCAATCCAGGATGTTCCTAATTTCCATACAAGATATGAGTTTCGGCTCAATGATGCATGAGTGTTGATAGGTATATCATGCAATGTGGTACCCCCCAGTGATGTTCGTTAGTTTATAACCCCCATCAACTATAGATATATCTACCATAAGTCCTACTTGTTGTAGTTATAAACCAACTGAACGCTATCTATGGGGCACCACTATGTGGTATATCACCTAGCAGCATCCATCCGTTTGGTCGGATGGATTTCTTTGGGCGGATCCCAGCAATTGTCACAACCCGTTGGTTCAGGAATGGAAGCAATGGTCCACCTGCCAAGACATGCGACACAACATGGACATACTGTGGATGGAAGAAATCCTGAATGACGGATGGTTGAACCCTATGCA